GGACTCCACAGGAAGTGGGGGCGTGTCAAGCTTTGGCTACTTGGTCTCAAGAGCAGGCAGACAGAGAAAACCCATCCATGGATTATCCATCTCCGTACTGAGAAAAGGCGTTCAGGTAAGACCAACGCCCCTTCCCATTGACTTTGTTTGTCAGAAGGTTGCAAAAGGTGATCACAGGACCCCAGGGCGCTGCTGTTGCCATAAATACATGCCAGTTGTCAAGAGTCCAAATTTTGATCACCTGACCATGGGGATGCTGCAATAGTCATAAATGTGAAAAATGGTTATAAGTCATTTTTTTCAGTGCCTATATGTTGGTTTGCCAAAAACGGTGTGGAAAGTTTGTTGGTCCATATCAGGGGTAGTCAACCTTGGCTCTTTTATGACTCGTGGACTTCAACTCCCAGAATTCCTGAGCCAGCTTAGCTGGCTCAGGAATTCTGGGAGTTGAAGTCCACGAGTCATAAAAGAGCCAAGGTTGACTACCCCTGGTCTATATACTGTACTGATTTTTTGGGAAAGTTTTTATCGTGAGTGCTTAACAAAAAATTATGTTTCGTTTCTTTTTCTTTCCCATTATGATGGTAGAAATAAATGAAAATAAATATAAATTAATTAATAAATCCTGACAATAGCAAAGACAGTGTGAGGGAGTCAAAAAGTCCCCAGGTACAATTTCACTTCTGCCATTAGCATGTTAGGAAGCCTTAGGTAAGTCAGCATCCCTTTGTAATGGATCTCGATTGAGATAATAATTGTAATTGTTGTTTTAGAATGGCTTTAGGGTATATAAATTCTAAATGAAGGTGGTGGTAATAATTGGTAGATTCACATAAAAGTACAATCTAACCCTAAAGTTGGGAGAAAAAATAGAGTAGCAGTCCCCAAACCTTTTAGCTTATGGACCCTTCATGAAGTTTCAGATTGTTCATTGACCCCTAAACATTGATTATATGAAAATAATTTAATAAATACTATTTTAAGTAATATTACTGTCGATAATTAAATAGATAACAAAATCAGCTCTTTGGATAATCCTACCTAACCTTTCAGAGGCTAGTGACCACTTCAAAGAACCCTGATATAGAGCATGCTTTCTGGATTCTTTTCAGGCAGCTCCACTCTGGGTCATGTGACTAGGAGGAGGGGCTTCAGAATTGAATAACTGACAGCATTCTGAACTGCTGCCCAGCTGCCTCTCTAATAAGAGACAGATTTTTCTCTTTATTTGGTCCTGCACTGCTTGTTTTTAGATAGTTGTCTTGTTGACAAGGAAGACACAACAGAGCCCAAACTCCCCTCACATAATCTTCTATTTGGCTTTTTGTTGGATTGGGAAGAATAAAAATGACTTTTGGTTCCCAGCCTAGTGCAGCAACCTATTTTCAGCAGCAAACAACCAGATCCTAGCCACAAGTACAACCAGCCACAGTACACCAAGAAGCCTCTTTGTGCTTCCTGGGCATGGTGACTTTGGGCCATATTGCTGAGACTTGCTGGGGCATGGCAGTTTGGTGCCATGCTGCTGGGATGGGGTTGGGGTGTCTGAGGCTTCTCAAAGTATCTGAGGCTTCTTGCTTTGGGTCGGGGGCTTCTTTTCAATCCCAGAACCACAATGTGACTAGACGCCCCAAGCCACAGCATATTCTTTCCCCAGCCTCTTCATGATTGCACATATGAATTCATCCGCACCCTCTTTCCTGCTTCCCTGAACTCCTGCCACACTGCAGTACCCTCCCCATTCATGTGTGGCCTGCACCAGGCCTCCCCTGACCTCTCCCACTACACTGCAACACCTCTGTGTTCCTTACCTGGGAATCCTTGTCTATTAGTATTATGTTTTAAATGTTATTTCATGTGTATCCCTGTCTAAATGATTAATGCATAGGAAAAGAAAATCTGGACCATCAGTGAGTGAGCAGTACTTCGCTTATGTCTATGGAGATTTTCAACAATCCATGTCATGGTTGCCCCAAAGGTACTTTCCAAAAAGCAACTGGACTTTCTTAGGTTTTTCCTTGAAAACGTTTTGCTTCTCATCTAAGAAGCTTCTTCAGTTCTGACTAAATGGTGGGGAATGGAAGGATTTATATTCTTTGCACAACTCTTAACAACTCTGAATCTGACCGATCACTATTAAGAGCCTATCTTAGGACTTATTTAGTGGCGATAAAGGTGGCAAAGTGTGTTCACTTTTCCGCACTTATTGCGTCCGCAGAATTTCGCCCGGCCGCCCTGTTTAGGGTGACCCGCTCCCTTCTTAAAGTGGAGGAGGCGGAGGAACCCTTGCAAGGGAGAGCTGAGGAGATTGTTCAGTTTCTTTTGGACAAAATCACTCAGATTCAGAGGGACCTGGACTCCGACTGGGCAGTGCCAGCTGAGATGCCGGGGGCTGGTCTTAGTCATGTTATCTGGAGTGAGTTTGAGCCTGTGACCCCTGATGAAGTGGACAAGGCCGTGAGGGCGATGAATGCCGCCACCTGTTTATTGGACCCGTGCCCCTCCTGGCTGGTTTCTGCCAGTAGGGAGGTGACACGAGGCTGGCTCCAGGAGATAATCAACGCCTCTTTGATGGAGGGGTCTTTCCCGCAACCTTTGAAGGAAGCGGTGGTGAGGCCCCTCCTCAAGAAGCCTTCCCTGGACCCAGCTGTTTTGAAGAACTTTCGTCCTGTCTCCAACCTCCCCTTTGTGGGGAAGGTTGTAGAGAAGGTGGTGGCGTCCCAACTCTTGCGATCCTTGGATGAAATGAATTATCTGGACCCTTTTCAATCTGGCTTCAGGCCCGGCTACAGCACTGAGACTGCTTTGGTTGCACTGACCAATGACCTCTGGCGAGCCCGGGATAGGGGTCATTCCTCTATCTTGGTGCTTCTTGACCTTTCAGCGGCTTTCGATACCATCGATCATGGTATCCTTCTGCGTTGTCTCGGAGAGGTGGGGGTGGGCGGCACCGTATTGCGGTGGTTCTCCTCCTACCTCTCTGACAGGTCACAGTCGGTGTTGGCGGGCGGACAGAGATCGACCCCTAGGCGCCTCGATTATGGGGTGCCTCAGGGCTCTGTCCTGTCCCCCCTCCTTTTTAACATCTACATGAAACCGCTGGGTGAGATCATTCGGCGACACGGGGTGAGGTATCATCAGTATGCGGATGATACCCAATTATATATCTCCACCCCGTGTCCTTTCAGTGAAGCAGTCGACGTGATGTGCCGGAGCCTGGAAGATGTGAGGGTCTGGATGGGGGTGAACAGGCTTAGACTCAACCCTGACAAGACCGAGTGGCTCTGGGTCTTGCCCCCTAAGGGTCTTTCTGATGGTCCATCATTAGTCCTGGGGGGGGGGAATTTACCTCCCTCAGTACAGGCACGCAACTTGGGTGTCCTCCTGGACTCACAGCTAAATTTGGAACAACATCTATCGGCTGTGGCCAGGGGGACCTTTGCCCAGGTTCGCCTGGTGCACTAGTTGCGGCCTTATTTGGACCGGGAGGCTCTACTCACGGTTACTCATGCCCTTGTCACCTCAAGACTGGACTACTGTAATGCGCTCTACATGGGGCTACCCTTGAAGAGTGTTCGGAGGCTGCAGTTGGTTCAGAATGCAGCCGCGAGAGCGATTGTGGGTGCACCAAGGTACACCCACGTGTCACCTATCCTCCGCGAGCTGCACTGGCTTCCTGTGGGTTTCCGGATGCAATTCAAGGTGTTGGTTGTCACCTTTAAAGCCCTTCATGGCTTAGGACCAGGTTACTTACAGGACCGCATATTGCCGCATAGTTCCCAGAGACCGGTGAGGTCCCACAGATTGGGCCTCCTTCAGGTCCCATCGGCCAGACAATGTCGGCTGGCAGGCCCTCGGGGAAGGGCCTTTTCTGTGGTGGCTCCGACGTGGTGGCATCAACTTCCCCCTGAGATTCGAACTACTCCCACCTTGCCGGCCTTCAAGAAAGCTATTAAAACTCTCTTGTTCAGGCAGGCCTTGGGATGATGTCCCCAGGGGGGCCGGGATTCGATTGGGACATGCTGTGTGAATGTATTCATTTTTAATTGTTATACTTGTTGTTTTAACTTTGTACGCCGCCCTGAGTCCCTAGGGATTGGGTGGCATATAAATTTTACTAATAAATAAATAAATAAATAAACCGAGTTTCAGAGTGCTAATGACCAGATGACTGCAAAGAATATAAATCCTTCCATTCCCCACCATTCAATCAGAACTAAAGAAGTTTCTTGGATGAGAAGTGAAATATTTTCAAGGAAAAAAACAAAGGAAGTCCAATTGCCTTTGGAAAAGCAACCTTCAGGACAATACTTTACACATTTACAATACTTCAATTTTCCCTAAGTCAAAATTAGTCCAGCTGATCAAATTTAGTTGCATGCTATGTAACTGGCTACGTTTGCCTGTTTTCTGTTGCTGTGTGTCGAGGTCACCATCCATGTTTTTAAGGCTGTCTTTCATTTTGCTGGTAGGCTCTTCTCCGGGCATTATTGTTCCTTTTCTGTACAGGTTTTATCAATTCTTGGCAGGTTCTTGTGTTGTGAAATTCTGTGCTGATGATCATACCGTAAATTTCCTTGAAGGGAAAATTTTCTTGCTTTTATGTAACACTTGGGACTGACATTTTGAGTTCACTATAAATAAAAGATCAGCTCATGCTGCAGTGGTTTTTAGTGGGAAATGCTGTGTTTATAGCACAATTCTTTACTAGCAAAGTATTGCCTAAGACATGAATACATTCTCAATGAGCATACAGTTGTGTTTCATCATCATCATCATCATCATCATCAATTATTGTATAATAAGCCTAGAATTAGAATAAACAGATTGTACAATAATTATTTACAGCATTTCAGTAGGCAGTTGTATTGGGAACCTCCTCTCTCTCTCTCTCTCTCTCTCTCTCTCACACACACACACACACACACACACACACACTAACTGGTGGGATGTTTGGATTATGAGATGATATATTTTAATGGCCTTTTGTTGCCTCTTAGCTGAAGAATAGAGGAATGGCAAATTATTGCTTTGATTACAATCCTCCCAGCGAGCATGAATTAACAGGATACAAAGTCATATTATATCCATGTCATGGCATGGGACAAAATCAGGTAAGGTATTAACTTTCTATTCAAGTGTCAGATAATAGTTCTATTAAATGCACGGTCCTGCTATTTCTCCTAACTATACTAAAGCGTTTCAGTTTTGAGCATAAACACCCATATTAAACCTAGTCTTGCATCATAATCCTTTCCAGAATTATATAGAAGTTCAAGGAATATTCTGGGTGTGCACATGTATTGGGAGTTTGGACTAAGGTTCTTAATGGATTTGATTAGGTTCTTATAAGTTCTGTCCCTAAGATCCACTTGAGAAGTCTGACAATTACTGAAGCCAGCATTTCACAAAACAATAGCAGTGATAGTCAGAATACAAATACAGAACAATTATTTCTGAAAGAAATACTATTTTAAAGAGGATTTTTCACTTAGTAAAGTAAATAATTGTAAAAATACTTGAAGATAAAGATAGGGGTGTGATTGTTACCTTCTGGGTGTTTCTAATAGAGTTTAATGATGCGGCCTAAGACATAAGAGGGTGTGAGGTCCTGTTTATGAAATTGGGCTCTAAGAAGCCCAGTTGGGGGCTGCTGTTTACCTCCCTCCCTTGCTGTGGTGTAGTAGCATTTTTGCCTGAGTCAGATTCTATGGTTGAAATAGTAATGGAGTTCCCTCGACTGATAGTTTTTGGGAAATTCAACCTGCCTTTACTGGGCTAGAGTGGGAATTTGTGGCAACCATGGATCTGACCCAGCACAAGCACAGAAAGCCTAACAAGATGGAGTCACTTTGGGTTTTTGAGTCTCCTGAATCTGGAGAGTTGTCATCTTTAACTCTTGATGGGGTGCATTCTCCCAAACAGAATTAGTGTCTAACTTGGGGGTTTTCCTAGGCCTTCTTAAAGAAGATGGCTGTGGCTAGGAGACCCTTTGCATAAAATCACCTGGGGCACCAGTGCCACCCATTCCTGGATTGGGGGGGGGCTGTTTATTATCACTCATGATTAGTCACTTCTTGTTTAGATTACTGCAATGCATTGTTCATGAAGCTGCCCTTGAAAATTACCTGGAAATTTCAACTGATCCAGAATGCAGCAACACATACTGTATATTCTGGGTGGCACACGATTCATCTGTGTTACATCACTACTGCTCAATCTGCAATGACTGTATGGTTCAAGGCCAGGTTATTTGTGGGATTACCTCTTTCTGAGGACATTCATCTATCCCACTAGATTGGATAAAGTAGGCTTGCTCCAGTCCTTTCTGTTTAGTGTTGTCATCTGGTGGGACCCAGGAAATAAGCCTTTTCTCTTGCACTGCTTATCCTATGGCACAGATGTCTTGCCATAGGATAGGCAAGAAATGGCCTACCAAAAGGCCATTAAGACTTTCTGTTCCCAAAGGATGAGAAGTGAGCCTAGCTTTTTTTTGTAATTTTGGAGAGAGTAGTGTTGTGATGCTGATCCTTTGTTGAAGTTTGAATCTCATGTTTTCAATATTTGTAATTTTGTTAGTCACCAAGGATTGTTTTATATAATATAGATGGCCATATAAAATTTCCAAGTAAGTAGATAAATATCATTGTAATTATTATCTAAAGAATTTCAGATTTGGGCTGGAAGTGTTTTTTTATATTTTTACTGTTCTTCTGTTCACAATGCTTTTGATCATAGAAATACATAGCTGAAGTTTAATAGAGATGTATTTACTCTTTTATTTTGGGAATAACAGTTTTTTGAATACACCTCCCACAATGAAATACGTTATAATACCCGTCAACCAGAAGTCTGTGCAGCTGTTGATCCAGGAACTGATTTTTTGAAAATGTACTTGTGTGAAAATAGTATCCAAAATATTCCTGAAAATCAGAAATTTATTCTTAGAGAGGTAAGAATAGTCAAATTTGTTAACAAAAATTAAGTTGCTATTAATGTATTAGAGGTTTGTACTGAATGATACTTTTTATTTATACTAAAATGGTACTTCTGCCATTTTAGGTGGGTGCTTCAATGCTGTATAGTCTTTCATCCTCTTTTCCTATCTTTCCTGTGACCATTGATATTTCTACTTCAAAAAGCAGAACGGACATTTCTGTTTTTAAAAATACTACTTTTGTTTTCCTTTATTAAACTTTTTAAAATAATAATAACAGCAATAGCAATGAGAAATAACAAGGTTGTTACTAAACCATATAGATTAAATTTGTGGGCTAGCCATTTCTAGCATTATATGTAATAATGACTTTTTAAAGGAAAAGGAAAAAGAGGAAGATAAATATATAAGCAGCTGCTTTTTTTAAAAAAAAAAGATTAAATGTTAAATTGCTTGAAAATTTGCTTTTTTGCCTGTTTCCAAATGTCCTACTTCAGATATTGACAATCCCCCTTCCAACTGGCCACAGTATAATTCTTACTTTAATTACTCTAAGCAACTCTTGATGCTTTGATAAATTCCATATTTTCAGGATCTAACCAAGAAAGGCATGTGCAGTTTTGACAACCTGCAGTCACTGTGATCTTATATTGACAGTTTTATACATTTCAGGCAAAAATATTGCAAAATGTAGCACTTAACCAAATGAGTGAATGTTCATACCTCTGAATTGCATCTCCAAACATAAGGTTATTGTAACTTACTGCTAAACACTCTCTGAGATGCATAATAAAAAAGGAATAGTGTTAATGGCTGTTTCCTTTAGGAGAAATTGCATTTCATGATCAAAGAATGTTAGTTCTTTATAAGTAGATCAGTATTTATTTATTGATTGACTGATTAAATGTATGTGCAGCCCGTCTTGTCCAGCAATATAATATTGCATGGGATATGGGACCAGAGGCATCAGCCAAGGGTTGAGGGCAAATGACAATAATATTATGCTATTGTGACAGAAGTTCTCTTTTTTGTACATGTGTTCTGAACTTACCTGCATGTATGAAAAGGGCAGAACTTAAGGCATGACTTTGCTTTTATCATTTTGATGAAAGCATTAGATCCTGGGGATACCTCTGGTTGAACCTTTGGAAGATACAGTAGAATCCCCCTGCACTCTGCACATTCACATATAAAAATGAGGTCTATGTATACAACAGGATACACAGAGCAGATTTCCTGCATATAGGATCTTCCTTGGACAGTTTAATTCTAGCTGATGCTGACCTATATGATTCTCTTGTATGATGGTGTCATTGTTATCTACAGATACCTGTTGATCCAAATCACTATTATCTACTTACAACTCTTTATAAAAATCGAATTAACATTATGTTAATTTAATAGTAAATCAAAGTATCTACATCAGTGAGCATGAACCCACAACAGATTTTGTTAATGTGAATAATAAATTATTTTGTTCTTTGTCACTTATCTTTTCATGAAGTTAATAAAGTTTAAAATATGAATTTCAACTCTTACTATGGTTACTGTGTCTTTACCAGACATTATAAAAAAATATTTATTGTTTTGTAGGATGGAGTTTTAATACATAAGCAGACCCAGAAGTGTCTACAAGCTGAATCTGATGTAGAAAATGGATATCCAGCACCTTTGTTACGGCCATGTTCCAATTCAGCATACCAGAAATGGTTTTTTATAGGGAGGAGTTGATACAGAAATCTAATTTTATGGTTGATCAAGATAATGTCTGGATCTGAAGCAAGCAAATGTTTAATCATTTGTACACGGAGAACTGTATTATTTTCAACTTATTCTGCAACACAGGCAGGCATTGAAATTCATATGTGGACTTTTCTGCGTTGGAAATTTACTTTTGGCAGCTATATGATTTACCAAATTTTTTATATATTTTAGCAATAACTTAGAGACTTGATAATGCAGGTGGCGGCACTTAAATTTGATAATTTAAATATTTATTTTTTCCTAATATGTTCAACTTTAATGTGACTAAGACATTAAAAGAAAAATAAAATAACAAATTTTACTGTGAAATTATTATAATATAAATAACCATATTTTTTTTTTCATATATCTAGTACACTGGAACTGCATGTGAAGAATCACTATTGATTCTAAGGATACAGTAGATCATTATAGTAGAATTATATGTGAACTCAATCTATTATGATATAATAGGGCACAATGTGGCTCTAAATCTTTTAAATTAAACAATAAATGAATTGGAAGTAAGGATGACTGAATCACTCTGTCTCTGGTTCAGCTCACTTTCAAAAACATTCCTTCATAAAATCAATCTTATCTCCAATTTCCAAATTAGTCTGCCAGTTAAAAACATCCATATAAATTAAACGTGTACACCATTTTCCTTTATATTTTAATATATGACTACCCCAATGTAAGAATTTTTAATGTACTTTTGTCTAAGAATTACATTAAAAATATTGGAAAATTTTTCCTTTAAAAAAAACACCATTTTCCAGATTAATGTATGTTGAGCTAAGGTATAAGATATGTTTGGCTGATTCAGATAATGGCCACAGATAATGAAATTTCTCCCCCATTTTTAACTGGGTGTCAATTTCTAAAAAGAATGTTGGCATGCAGAATCATTGTAGCAGGACCAAAAAAATAAAAATAAAATCGGCAGAAACAGATTTCAGGGACGATATTACACAGGAACCTTGTATAATCATGCCATGGTACCTCCTAGATAACAAAACAAATTCAAAAGTAGACACCCTGCATCAAATATGATTGTCTTTGCTACTATCTAGTAATCTAGGATTTTTGTATCAGAGATCTAATAGTCATAATCAAAGAAACATTCTTTGACTGAATCCATAATTTTATAACTATATAAAAGTTTATGCATAGCTAGGAAAAGGTGCAAAGGGGTTTTTACGTGGTATGACAAATGCTTATACAGAATACAAAATAAAGCGTGTAGCGTGGCAACTACCATTATGTTGACTGAGCCTATCCTAACTTATGTGAAGATGAAACAGTGTGAGGAAATGACATTTGCCTGAATTTGGAAGGGGAAGGTGGACTATTAAAAGCTTGGTTAGTAATGAATATATATATGACAGTTCGGGATTTGGACAAAATGAAGATAATAGAATAAAAATTATTCCAATTATCTTTAGAAGAGAGAGTAAGATGCAAAAGATGACAGATTTGGATGGTTTGTGGAGAGCTCAACATGTGCAAATTTGGGAAGTTTACATTTGAATCAAAATACCTCATACCTCGTCAGGCACAATCCCAACCCTAAAAATGTTTGAATATCAGATTCCAACAATGATGTTGGAGAAGCAAAACTCTTAATTTGTTATTATGGACACCAACTCAATGGTTTGATTAAAGTAACTGAAGAAATAAGACAGTACAAAGTATGCATTTTGCAAAGCATCTGAGAGAGATGGGCGGTTTAGAAATAGGAAATATAAATAAATAACTCCCTCTTCAAAGCACTAAGTCAAATGCATCTACCAGCATGGTGTTTTTTTTCAGAAGATGTAAATAAATGTTTTTGAGAAGTGCTAGTCACACCAGTGGACTTCTGAATATGCCCTTTGGATGCTTTGAATTTTGTATTAAGCTACTTCATTTGGCTTCAGAACCTTATTCTCATACCCTGACAAGCTCTTGTTTCCCAATTTTGCTGATGTATTTTGTACTGACATTGAAAATACGGACATCCTGATTTTGCTGGGATTTACTTTAGCCATTCACAGGAATATCTGGAAGCTGGTAATTTGAATTATACCAATCATGGTGCCAACTTGCATGCTTTTTTGGAAGAAATAGCTCTTTAAAAGATCCATGAGTGTTTTCATCACAAAGTAGTCTGGAATCCTGCAAGTATAGGTATGGGACAGGGATTTCATGTCTGAGAAATGCTTTCCTTCCTCTCTTCTCTAATGCAACATCTGCCTTTTGGAGACAGTTTGCAAAGGAGAGATACTGGGACTCTTTTATATAAATATGATGCCACCAGTGTTGTATCTTCTTAATGTTCATTATACTTTAAAGTTTTATTTAAATTTTGGAGCAATTTTGAAATACCCTTAAGCAAGCAAATCATGTTCTTTTTCAAAGTTTGGTCAGTCAATTAGCCATATCAAACATGAGCATTGGCCACAGTAAAATACAATAAAATGAGATAAGATACAATTAAGTGAGATAAAATAGAATAAAATATAGTAGGGAGGAAGAGGAAGAAAAAGTGGAAAAAGAAGGAGAAGGAGATTAAAATGCAGTATTTGCAGGCAAACTCTGCCCACAGCCTAGAGTTCAATCCTGACAGGACTGAAGGTTCACTCAATCTTCCATCCTTAAGAGGTTGATAAAATGACCCATATTGTTGGGGGCAATATGCTGATATTGTGTCAGCAGCACTGCCTAGCATTCAGCTTTCTTCCCCAGATTATTTTTTACATGTCTGTGTGCTAAAATAAAATAGTGCTCTTTAAAGTAGTTTTATATTTGTGGTGTTGGCATTTAAATGGCATTTTGTGCATGCATCTGTGGATAAAACAGTAGCTTAACGTGAATTGGAAATAATTTTGTTTAATGTGCAAATTATCAATAGAATTGCATTCTTAAGTTCAGTCATCTCGCCTTGTTCAGTTCTATTTAGGGCTGGACTATTTGTCATAATATATGTTAACATAAACCATTATCTGCAATTTGTTACCTCATTATTCCTGAAGTAAATAGAAAATGTACTGTAAAGTTTTATGCTAGTGAAGATGAAACACCACACTCCCTTAGATATGTGGTTGGAAAAAGAGATGTGACTTCATATTCCTATAAGGAGATGAATTGCATTTAGCCAACATCCAGATCATAAGAGGGAATGGGATTTGATCCAGTTCTGAATCCACTGTATTTTAACTCTAAAGTTCCAAGAAGCTTTGTTTCTGATGTGTTTTTAAATACTCTGGTTTGTTGCACATTTTAGGAAATGGGCCCAAAAACAGGGGACCATATTTTAAAAGATCTTTGTTTGAAACCTCACGTCCTGGCTTCTATCTAATTTGACATAATTCATCCATTTACAATTCAATCCAATGTGTTAAAAAGCAAAATGTGGACTTTTGTGTTTTTTTATAGTATTCATTTATTTAACAAATTTATATGGCCACCCAACTCATACATAGGTGACTTCGGGCAGCTTACAACATGAAAAATTCACAACATAAAAATCCATAAACCCATCCTGCCCCACTCACCCCTAGAAGCAATACAATCAAATCAACCACACGGTCGGCTCCCTCTCCATTTGTGGTCCCCAGGCCCACTGATAAAACCATCTCTTGAGGGCCTTTCAGAAAAAGGGGCAATAGTGTGGGGGCAATTATGTGTCAGGGAGGATGATGTTCTAAAGAGAAGGGGCCACCACCAAGAAATCACTTTTTCATGGTCCCATCAGGTGTAGAACCCAAATAGATGGGCCCCACAACATACCATGACTTCCTGTCCTGGTGGACCAGGTGGATGTAATAGGAGAAGTGGTCCTTCAAATAGCCTGGCCTCAAGCCACGTAGGGCTTTAAAGATGATAACCCTGAATGTACCCGGAAGCAAACTGGCCTCCATGAATCCAGTGCAGTCTCCTATAGAAAGAGAGATTTTCTTGTTTCCCTCTGAAAATTGGAAACCTCCAGAATGATCTGGACCAAACTGGGCTATTTGTGGACTAAGAACTTCTACATTACTGAAATTCATTTTTCCAGCCAGTTGATGCAAATGAGTTAATAAACAGCATTGTTTTTTATAAGAAAATAATATAATTAAAGTTATTTTTCAATGTCTTAGTGCCTAGCTAGCATTATAATTATCAGTCCTTGGTCTGTATTGAATAAAGCAAAACAGAAGCAATAAGAGCTTAAAGCATATTTGACAATTACAGAAGCAAGGAAATGCATACGAAATTGAAAACATGGAAAGATTAATATCTTTGGCCTTGTGAAGGGAGATGTTGGTATAATGAGGGTTCACTGATGATAATTTGTAATACCAAAAACTGACCATTGCTATTTGTATATAGGCAAGTGGTATGTTTAATTTTGACACAAAGTGAGAGATCAATAAATTAGAACCATCAACAGAATATGTACACTGAAATTATAGAATACTTGGATATCATTTTTTTCTATTTGTCTTAATATTTGCATTTTCTTACTCTATTTAATAGCCTTGAGAGATTTTGTCAATTGCAGCTTTGTAATTGTTGTTTTTATGTGAGTCCTGAGACCATTTACTAATATGATTTCTAGCAGTAATTTCATAAATATTACTGTGTTTTGTGATGCCTTGAGATATATATGTTCTTCAAGATTTACAGAATCACATGCGAATACTGCTTATAAGAACCATAGGCTAATGAGATTAAAACAATGCAGTAAAATATTTGTTTTAAAGATCATATTTCCAAGTGCTTTTTAAAATTAATCATCTCTAGTCTTCTTCTTTTTGACAGCTGTCGTATTCTGATAATGTGACTCTTTTCTCTCACATTACTTTAAATTCAATATAACAGTTAGTTATAATGCAATATTTACATTGTATTTGCATTTAGATAGCTGTTAGGATTTGATCCATGAAATCTTAAGAATCTCTGAAGACTAATAGGAGAAAGTGTGACTTTCAGAAAGTGGAAATTAATGGAATTATACATAATACCAATTTTGTTAGAGTATATCTTTGCATGGACAAAACTAAAACTCCAGTCTAGGACATTAATGTCAATGACATAGGAATAAAAATGTAAAATATTAAATATTAAAAAATTAAAACCTTTAACTATTCTTTATATTCTTTGTACTTTCTCTGCTACATGCTGGTAATTTGTTAATTGTTTTAATGCTTATAAAGTCAGAAATACTACATGGGCTATGGAGTGTGTGTGATCAAAAATATCCCTTCAGAACTGCTTCAAAAGTTCTTGGGTGCGTCTAGCGGTGTGCGAGCGGGCATTATCGTGAACCAACACCACACCGAAGTCAGCATGCCCCGACGCTTGTTATGGATGGCTCGTCTGAGTTTTCATAATGTTTCACAGTAGACTTCTGAACTGATGGTCGAACCACACTCCATGAACTTCACTAGCAGAACTCCTTTGCATCTTCACATTTGGCGGGATTTTCTATGGTACCACTTCTGGTGTGATGTTGTTCACAATAATGCTTGCCTGCATACCACTAGACATGCCTAAGAACTTTTGAAGCAGTTCTGTTGGGATGTTTTTGATCATCCCCCCCATAGCCCACATTTGGCGCCGATTGACTACTACTAAGGAATTTCAAACCTTGTAAGACGTTATGACAAGACCCTCAATTTGAATGGCGATTATTTCAAAATATAATGTTGTAGTCTTCTAATGTGTATAATAAATGTTATGTATCTGCGAGTGTCTGTCACTGATAACCAAACAGAGGTTTATTTCTGAATTGCTCTTGTACTACACTGACTATTCCCACAAGCAAGCATTAGTATCCTTGCAAACAGAAGTGGATCTATTGTCTGTACATATTCATTTTTGCAGAAATGAACCATGTACTTTGGGAAGACCTGAACTCATTTGGGAGGTTTACTCTTGGGATGGTGGTAGTGGTAATGGTCATTTCTCACAGTTTTTCAGATGGCACTATCTAAAGAATTTAGGATGAAACTTGAGATGTACTATAGAAAGCGAAAGTGAAATAAAAGTGTATTTTTAATCACATTATGAATAGCAATCTTTTCCCTCCTATTTTGTGGATATATTGTGGACTTCAATTGTCCAGTAGTCAACTCACTGAATCACAACACTAGACTCAGAACCTAGGGGAATTGCTAGCTCCAGATGGAGTTGCATCTAGTTTACCCATTTATTTATTTATTTACTTATTTCACAATCTGGTGTTTTCTGCAACCCTGGACCATGCCAATAGCCACAGATCAAACAAGAGCAGGGCCACTTTTCATTTTTTTTCCTAAATATTACATGTTCCTGTATTGTTTTTATTTTAACATTTTGTCTCATTTTAATGGCTTTGTATTGGTAGCAAAATCTCTCTCTATCAATTTCCTCCCCATCAACAGATAGGAGACATTTTTTAGTGTTATGGCTCCCTCTGCTGATAAGAGGCTACACTTAAAAAAAAAAAACAAAAAAAAAACACCACCACACCTGTGAGCTAAAATGTCATCCTCACCATGGGAATGGGGAAAGTATGGAACTCCCTCCAAGCTCTTTTTGGCCCACATGCAGCCAAAAGAACTTTTTGCAAAGCTGGTACAGATGACATATGTAGCTTAGAAACACTTCGCACCATTTGAGGCTAATTCTTCAATTGTGCTCATTCTAGACAAGACAAGTTGGCCACAGTGAATCATACATTGCTAACCTCAGGATGGACTCACACAATGTGCTCTATATAAGGCTGTTCTTGGGTCTGGTTTGGGCCTAAGATACTGCCTATAATGTCATAATGTGCATGTATAATATTTATGGTTGCTAGGTTGCTGTCACAACAGTAGTCTTCCTTGGCCATATTGGACAGGAGATCATTAGGAAATTCCAGCAATGTAGACCAGACTGGAGAAGAAAACATTCAGAAAGAAGGCAATGGTAGATCTCTTCCACATTGTTAGACAACAAGATTGCACAGATATACCCATGTAATCACTGGGAGGTGAGCTGAACCTGAAAGGAAAAAAAATGTCCACTCAACTATATTTAATGTGCTGCAATTACTACATAAAGCTATGACAAATTCAAAACCTGTTTGCCAATGACTACAGCTACATCTATAAAATTTGCCTAGACAGCTGCAGTCCCAGGATACTTCTGATCTCCATGCCACAGCTTGCTGCTTGTCAGCTAGAGGTGATGCAGAGAAAGACCTTTTCTGTGGGGACTCTGCCTGGTGGAATAGCATAAAAAAGGTATTTAAGCTTTTTATATTGATTTTCCCTGAAGATTAATATATACTGCACTACTGTCCTCAAACAGAATATTTTTATTCTGTTTTTAACTGTATGATTCTGTTATTGTGAATTGCTTTGAGAAGTCTAAAATAAGAAAGTAAAAATACTTCTGATAAATCCATTTTAACTAAATATTTGCAAACCATAACTTGAAATTTCTTCCAAAAAATTACAAAACTCGACCTTTTTATTACAGATTGCATAGTGTAAAAGTGTATCAGGTATTCTTATAAAAAAATGTGGGCGTTGACACCACTGTCCCATTCTTAAAGAACTAGTAAAATAACAGGAACAATTAGTCTTTCAAATTTAAAATAAAACGGTTTTTAAACATTTTAATCACCATTTCATATCTATTTGATTCATATCTTTAAATATTTTAAAACACTTCCAGAGAGACTTGTACAATGTTAATCTTCTTATTTGGTTAATGTAAAAGCACATAGTCTTTTTTTTCTTCATTTTACTCTATTTCCAGAAAATATGTAAGTAATATGCATTCTACCATGCTGCTGTTTTAATGGACTGATCAATAGATTAATTTCCATGTATGGAATGAAGTTAAATACTATTAGAGTTTTAAAGGATTTCTTATTACTGATGTTTGGTTGTAATAATATATTTGATACTTTAAGGATTCTTTTAATATTAATTATGACTAAATATTCTGTGGTGAGATTTCCTCAGAAAGTAACTATGGTTGACAATATAGTTCTCCTACCTGACTACTTAATGAATGCCTTGGACTTGAGACTTTTTTTCCCCATCAAGGAGAAGATTGCCTCAGCAGAGTTATGTTCCAGTAGCATGTCTAGGAAAGAAAAGAGTGAAAATAAAATGGAGGGCCCTCAATGCTAGAATTCTTATCAGCAAAATACACCTAGTAAGATATATTTCCTTCTAACATCAAATGTACTAATATGGAAATATGTTAGATTTCTTATTTATTTATTTATTTATTATGTCATCTCTCCAGATAATTACATCCACTAGTAAAGTAGGACAAGGACTGTCAATATTATTGCCCATGAGAAAATCTGCTGAGATTATAGGACTCATAAGAACACTAAAGGGTGAAAAAAAAAAATAAGTGAAAGCAACACAGTACTGGAAATTCTTCTGCAGACATTCCTAATAATTTAGAGCATTGTAATACTGGAGTTTGAGGTTGTTAGCAAGGGAATAAAAGAGTAGTGAATTATATGTAGTTGCAAGGGTAATAAATGGTGCCAGTTACATGACACTTGTAACATCAATACTGTGTTAATTGTTTAACCATCACAGCTGCTGTTTGCATTTTTTTTGGGGGGGGATGCTTTTATTGCTTTAATGTTTTGTAATTGTTTTATAATTTTAGAATTGTAAGCCACCAGTGACAATTGGTTGACTTGGGTCACTGTAGAAATTTAATAAATAAATAAATAAAGTACCCTCTGATCTCACAGACAAGATTAGAAGATTAGACCTTCAAAATAAATGGACTATTATAGCTTAATTAGCAATAACAGATAGTTTTTAGACTGGGCAGGAAGAATATTTTTCTCTCTTTCATTCATCCAGAGCTACAAAGAAGTAAAAAAGAAAAAAAAATCAACAGCCTTAATCATACCAAGGCAATTTTCATGTGAATGTTAACAACATTTGTAAATCTCCAGAGATAAATTACTAGTAAATAGAATAGTTTCCATGTTACATACGGCAAACTTATTTCATTTTCCACAACTGGAGTAGGCTGGGGGGGGGGGGGAGAGAAAGCAAATCTAAATCTCTAAGAGAGTGTATGACATTATGGAGCTCAGCAGCACCACTAGATGGCATCCACTGACCTTCAGAATAAGAGCATCTTATATTATTATTTATTTAAATGACAGAAACATTATAAAGCATCTTTCCCTTAACATGAAATCTCACGACTTTCATTGTTTTTTTTATTTTTTATTTTAAAAATAACTTCTATCTGAAACATTGCATGACAGTACTCAATGGTTGGCAAGGTTATGGTAGGAGTTGAACTTTTTCTACAGCGAAGAATGCGAGTGAAAAGTAAAGTTAAAAAAAATTACTTGCACCTTATATAGAAATTTGAAGAGAAAGGCAGAGAAAAGACACTTAATCTTCTCACTCACCAGGCCCTTTCCTTCTTATTATTATATATATTGCAATAATTCTGGATGAGGACTGAAGTAGGGAGCTCTATGCCATAAGATTAAAATCCAATAGCATATACTATTTGGAAGATTTCGAAGGGGATTTTCCCTTTCCAACTTCAAAATACTTCCATATTCTATACATTGTCACAGTACTTATTTATCTTTGAAGTATAGAGGTCACTTTAAAAAAATTATTGAAAATTTTAATTTATTTATTTATATCCCATCTCTATTATTTTTACAAATAAGTCAAGACAATGCACATATCCAACACCCCTTCCTCCCTCTATTTTTCCCATAACAACAATTCTGTGAGAGAGCTGAAAGAGAGTGACTGGCCCAAAGTCACCCAGCTAGCTTTCATAGCTAAGGTAGGACTTGAACTCACAATCACCTGTTTTCTAGCCTGGTGCCTTGATCGTTACTCTAAATGTGTATATTATATAAACCCATATATAATACTATAGTACTATAGTAAGCAGTATATAATATTGTTACAAATTAAAGTGCATACATAAATTGATGCTGCTCATCTATGTAACTGCCTGCCAGTAAATTCTCAGGAAAGATTCAGGTGAAACATTCCAGGTTTTAAAGGTGCTCTGAAGCCAAGCCATTGGGATATGCAGGTAGATTGAAGATAGAAACCAAAGGCAAGCAGGAGTGAGACTGTAATTAATTTTTTAAAAAGCAGGTTTTCCTATATATCATCACAAGTGCTTACTTGATGCAATAGTTGAAATTGTAATCAGCAGGTGCATCTATGCATCCGCTGGGAGCATAAGGAAGTTGGCATTTATCAAGACACCTGCTCCCTAGTTGTACACTTTGGCAGTGTCTTAGAGCCAGTGCTCTTGGCAGAATACAATAGGCCATGGAAACTGGAGAAGATAATTAGCCAGAGAATAGTAGCTTGGTACTAAATTAATACATCTATGGGCCAAATGTACATATAAAAACAAATCCAGTTTTTAATAATGATGAATATTGATTTATATTTTAATAGAGGATATTTATGTAAATACTGCATTTATAAAAAATAAAAGTTGCATTTAATATTAGGTATGATTTGGATTCTTGGGGCACCTAAATCCATCCTAGGGAACAAATCTCAATTTGAAATCATTAAAAGATGGCTTCTAAATTTGGGATTGCTTTAACCAAAGTTTGCAGTAGCCAGAGTCTTGATTTATGCTGAGTTGTTTTGTGTCCTACCTAAGTTCCTCTTCTTAGCCACTGAGGTGCCAAGACCACGGTACGTTGCTCTTCAAATTCAAATCTTCCTTTTTTCACCATGTTTTCCCTGCCAGCAATATTTTTGTACATACTGTAAAGACAATCATGCAAAAAAAAAAAATCCACCTCATAAGCACAGAGGCAAAAAATGTAACTATGTAAACATAGAGTTCCAACAAATGCATAGAAAAATAGTTATTTACTGCTGTTAGATATACAATATTTGGTGATAGAGACTAAGGAAAACAAATATTGGCCAAAAAAGCTGTTTTAATTTTCCACAACTGCATTACTGAGCCCAATTCGTTCAACAAACTCTGGCCGAAAGAAATCTTGGCTTAGTGATGATATATGTAGGTACAGCCATTGTTTCCATAGAGTGGGTAATGGATAATTTATAGTATATTGTATGAGAATAAGGGTTAACAGCTGATTTTTTTTAGTACTGCAGAGAAACTCAGATGAAATATTATACATAAGAGGTATGCAAATCTCTCTCTCTCTCTCTCTCTCTCTCTGTGTGTGTGTGTGTAATTTTCTTATTTCAGAATGGCATGCATAGTATAAATAAAAACAACACTGACTTTATTTATATCCTGCATAGGTAAGCAAACAGATTTTGGATTCTGTCAGATAGAGAAATGTCTTTCCCAATCAATTTTGAAATTATTTCTCTAGACATATTTTCAATTACAGCAACAAAATAATGAAATAAAAGCAACCATTAATAGTTGCTGAATCCTTTCTTGACTCATCATAAATCTAATTTGCAGGAATGCACTATTTATTGTAATACAGCCTAACTCAAGGTAATTATTAATTATAGCTGCTGCTGTATTTTCAGAAAAAAAAGCCTTGTTCAGTTTGGTGGGTAAAGGATAATATACATATATATATATATATATATATATATATATATATATATATATATATATATATATATATATATATATATATTACAGGCTAATAAATGCCCATCTTCTTGAATATTTTATTCTTTATTATATTGGTTTGATCATACTATTCAAATAGTGATGAAGATTATGAGATGTACAAAACATATACAGTATATAATAAGTACTTAAGCATGCATTATTATAAAAATCTTAAGAGAACATAACAACTAATACAAAATAAATAGAACAAAGAAAGAAGAAAAAAATAAAAGTGCAGACAGGATAAAAAAAGAAATAGAAAGCTTCCAATCTCCTTTGCATCAAACACAAATGATTACAAAATTGTCTTACTCTATCTTCACAAATAAAACACACCTTTTTTGTTATTCAATTTTATGCAAAAATTATTCATTTTTTTGTAATAATCGAAACCACAAGTCATAAATTCATTTTTTTCTGTTTCATGCAAAAATTCTACAAGTAGTTTCCTGTCATAAAAATAGATGTTACCTTTTCTCTAATTAAAAAAAGTTAATTTAGCCATCTTTGCAAGTTCTTTCATCTTCATCAATATTCTTCCATTTTGGGTAGTGTTCAGCCTTTCCACCTTATATAATATAATAATAATCTTGTTTCAATTGACATGTATAAAAATGAAGTTCTATGCTATTTTTATAATTGCTTGTTCACTAGTCCCAAAACGAAAGCCTTTGTTTTCAATTGTACTTTAGTCTATTAAAATCTTCTGAATTAATACATACATTTCTATCTAATTTCTTTGGCTTCTTTAACATGTCCATTAAACATAATTTTTTATCTCTGTAATTGTTTTCTGAGTTTGTAGATTTAAATTAGAAAATTGTTCTTTTATCTCCTTTGTATTATTTTTAACCTACTCACAAGCTAAAGTAATTGTTTTTTGTATTAATTTCAACATGAAGAGAATTTCTTTCTGTGTTTCATCAGTATTTTCTTGGTGATACAGCAAATTAAGGCTACTGGGAACAGATGTTAAAGATGGTATTTTACTATTTAAAACATAAAATTTTTATAATGTAATAATGTTGGAATGACTGTGATAAGATTCCATTTTATAAAATATGTTTTATTTTAAAAATGTGATCTTTTATAAAAATTCATTTTTATTGTATACATTTTATAAAAATTCTCTTTACGTTTAAAACATAATATAAATTTAAATCCTTTCAACCAGATTTTTCCCATAAGTATATGTTAACCAATTTTTTTGACCCATTTGATCATTTCTATTGCAGGGATCCCCAACTCTGGGCCACAGTCCATTAATGAGCTTTGAGGTGTTTGTAACCGGGCCGCAGAAATGGTGTGAGCGGGTTAGCAGGTGCATACACACTCCATTTGCATGAGCGGCAGACATGTGTGCATGCCACTCATGTAAATAGAGCTGTGCACAGGCATGCTTGCCATCCACTCGCACAGAACCATCCCCTCTCCCCCCCCGCTGGGCCACAAAGTCGGAAAGGTTGGGGAACTCGATTCTATTACGTTTGTTGTGACTATCAGAAAGCTCCATTTCTATGTCCCTCAGAAAGCTCCATTTCTATGTCCTCCAATTATCCTTTAGATCTTCCTAAAATAACCTCTTATCTTCTGAAGAGAATTTAGCAGTTTAGCACACATTAGACAGTGGAGAGAGACAAAAAACAATCTCGGTTTAAAATCTCTGGGAGTCAAGTAATTAAAATATATTTATACATATATTATTTTATTTATTAAATGTATTCACCACCAATCTTGTGACTATGCGCAGTTTACAATAAAATGATATTATAAAGGATTAAAACTGTAAAATAATAAATTCATTACAGTTAACAAAAAATAGCTCAGATGGCAGGGGTGTACAATAGAGTGGAGATGGGATCTTTTAATCCAGTAACTACCTCCAGGATGACAAGCCCCCATCCGGGCTCCAGAGTCAAGTTTTAAGGCCTTTAAGGAAGGCCAAAAGGGTGAAGCAAATCTTACCTTTGGGGTTATAGTGTTCCAGACAGCAGATGTTGCGACAGAGAACGCTCTTCTCCTGGACCTTGTCAACTGAAATTCCTTGGCCAACAGGGACATATTTAAGGATATTCATCATCAACAATAAAACTGAAGAACTCCCTGTACACTTCAACCTTGTGGAATCTGAGATACTAGAAAATTATTAGTAACAATTTTATTAACAATAAGTTTGAAAAGTCTGTGTTAGAACAAAGTAGAATCATTTTCAAACAACTGTTTTCCTACTGTCTAAAATACTGAGTACACTGATTAAAGTCAGTTCTGCAAAGAATCTGAGAATAACTAGTAATGAAAAGAGTGATGCATGGCACCTGACAATTAATTTAGTAATGTTTTGATTTTGTGATTAGTCACTGATGTGATAGCAGAATTAATAGCATTGCATTTTACAGAATAGAGAAGACAGAATTCTTGGCTGACAGCACAAACTACAGGGCAAGGAAAGTGAAATAATGAGAAAGATTAAGAAGAAAGGAATGTGTGATTATTTCAATTACTTGTGCTTAGGTTTAGTTACTGGCTTAGTAGGACATAGAAACTAGGAGATAATATGAAAGAGATCATGAAAAAGACATTTAATAATACATTGCATAACTGTATATGGACACAGCATGAAATTTATTGACAGGTGAGATATTTGTTAAGTAAGTTTTGCCTCATTTTACAACCTTTCTTGCCACAGTTGTTAAGTCAATCAGTGCAGTTGTTAAGTTAGTAACACGGTTGTTAAGTGAAACTGGGCTTCCCCATTGCCTTTGCTTAGAAGATCACAAAAGATGATTATATGTTCCTGGGACACTGCAACCATCATAAATATGAATCAGTTGCCGAGGATGCTGCAACAGTCATAAATGTGAAAAATGATCATAAGTAACCTTTTTCAGTGCTGTTATAACTTTGAATGGAAAAAGTGATTGAGCAATTTGAAGATCCAAGAATGAATAAGAATGGTGTTCCCATTACCTACACATGGGAAAGGAATGAATAAAGATCTGAAACCATTATTACTTGTTTATAGTGAGAGCTGTAAGACTTAGAGATGGATATAGAAGTGATGAGAGGTAATTTTTCATTTAGTTAAGTGTAGATCTTGGGAAGAAAAGGACATAGAAAGAGTATGAAGCAAATGAAACCGGAATAACAATAGAATAACTGCAGTGAAAAAAAAGTATGAAAATGCATGGGTTCTATATGAGAAAATGTTAAAATATATTTAATTTCCCAGAACAATGAGAATAGAAAGTGGGCATATAAGAAGAGATGAGATAAGATAAGATAACCTTTATTGTCATTTTTATACTGTGGGCACAATGGCACACATCAAAAATGAGATTTAGTCGCCCGCTCTCAAAGTGAAACACATACATGACACACACCTAAACATACTATGAATAATATATGTATATATGTATAGACCCACATCTCTACAAACTGGTTGGAATAGGGAGAATTGTGTTACAGAATGATCATTCTAGGAGGATTGTAATGTTAGCCTACGGTACTGTACTGTAAATCAAGCATAAGTTATTGCATTAAAGCATAAGCAATTTTATATGCATCTGATCAGTTGCAGTTCACAAAAGTGTATGCTTTTATTCTTTTATAATGAAATAAAAGATGCTACCAGGCTCCTTCTGTTGGTAAAAAAAATGTAGTTACCCTACTGGGAATTATGAAAAAGTATAAATTTGATTGCTGCAAAATATGAGAAAAGAAAATACTGCATACAGTGTAAAGGAAAAAAGCTTAATTGCAAAGAATATAGTCAAAGAAAACAAGGAAGTCTTAAAATGTTAGAAGGAAAAAGAAAGACAGAATGGTTCGGTGGAAATATTATTTGGGAAGTGGGTAGAGGGGCTACCAATTTTTTTTTCCAGATTTGAGAATGCACCTCTATTCTTCATTAAAAAAATAGCCATATATGCCTATCCCAGAAGGAGTCTGGTAGCACCTTTTCCAATTATCAAATTTTATTAAAGAGCCTAAACTTTCAGGAGCTGTAGAGAAACATAGAATGGCTAGATTAAATTGGGATGAAATGGAAATGGGGGAGGAGAAAACAGCATCTGATGAAGTGAGCTGCAGCTTGTGAAATTATGCCTTTCAATAAAATGTATTAGTTGGAAAAGGTGCTACCAGATTCCTCATGATTTTTTGTTCCCTTAAACCACACAACTCTCCTCCTACAATGCATATCCATCCAAGTACAGATAGTCCTTGACTTATGATTGTAATTGACCCCTTAGTTGTTGTGGTCATAAGCCGATGCATCATGTGACTAGATCCAATTTTCCAACAGTTTTTGCAATGGTCATTAATGTTGCAATTATTAAGTGAATCATTCTTCCCCAATGTGCATTTTTTGCCAAACCAGACCTAAATGCCAAAAGTCAGCAAAAATGTCACAAATTTCAGTCACGTGACCATGGAATGCTGCAAACAGACATAAAGGTGGACCAATTGCCAAGAGCCCAAAATGCAGTTATGGACTGCAAGGTACATGTGTTTTCTAACTTTGAAAATGGTCCATAAGTAGCTTTTAGGGGTGATTAAGCAACTGGTTGTAACTTAAGTACTACCTGCACAGCTTGGCACTTGACATATCATGGATGTGACTAGAGCTCTTTCATTTATTGATTAAATGAAGCGAGACATCTTGGATTTTACTGGAATGTAGATGGGATCATGATGCTGAATCTCTTGAACATTTAAGTTTATGGAAAACCTCTACTTTAAAAGCAGGTGGGAAAATGTTCTATGAAAAAGTATGGGCAGAGTATAGAATAGTTACCTTCTATCTTTAATAGTTTTTATTAAAAATTACAAGGAAAAATAGTATGTTCATCACAAATACAAACAATTTTAGTAATTTATCTCCACCTCTTAAAATACAACAAACGCTCTCTTTATCCCATTTATCTTTTTATCTCTCTTTATCTTTATAAGTGCAAAATCTCAATTTCTTAGATTTACTCACAAGGAATGGCCACTTGGAGTGTGCACGGGCTATGTCATGATCTCTCCTTTTTGCAGAGAGATTTTTTGCTGGCTAGGATCCAGCATCCAGCCACTGATCTCTGCTAAAATACTGTCCTGCTTCAGCACGACTTCTAGCTCACCCTGGTGTTCACCCAGAGTCTGAATAGTTACTTTATATTGATTACTTTCTACTTATGTTTTGAGGATTTTCAACAACTACAGACTTTTCTCTGCCCAGTACATATAAATGGCAAGATAATCAACTTAAGAATGATTTGAATATGGATTAGGCATCTTAGCTGTCTGAAAGAAGCCTCACTTATTTTAAACTGAGTTTGTTTCTAAAAATTTGAAATTATATCAAAAATTGAAAAATATTGTAAACATTGAAATTATGAAAATTTATAATTTATGGAATAAAGAGTTACTACATCCAATAATGAAATACAAATGAATCCAAGTTTTTAAAAACAATGTTGCTTGTTTCTTTGGACTTCAAATTGAAGTTAATCGGCATCCGGATCGCAACGCCTTCGGACAGGCGGAGAGAACCTTCCCTCTGCCGTTCGGTTTCCCTTCATCAGAAGACCCTGGAAAGGGTCGAAAGTCACCCTGGAGGGGCGACCACTGTTGGGGAGGACCCTCACTAGATTGCGGAAGGGTGGCAGCCCTTCTGTTTGATCCGAGGCAGCTCCTCAGGACCGATGAAGAAAAGATCGGGTATTAACATGGCCGATCATCAAGTCACACCAGCCGAAAGCCAAAATAACAACTAAGCACAACGAAGCACCATGGAGGATTTGGGTGAGACCCTTCTTTACCTTTTTCTTTCCCTAATCACCTTCCTGTGAAAGCTCCTTGAAATTTTCTTCCTCACTCTCAATACAGCAGCGTTTGCATACTTGGGAACTTAAATCTTGGAAACAAAAGACAAGAAAAGAACAACTAACCTTAACAACTAAATAACTGGATCTTTGCTTTGTGGATAACTTCCTATTATAGAGACTTAACATCTTTCTTAATTATTAACTTTGGAAAATATTTGTTTTTTTTTTAAAATAATAAATGGCTATTCGGCTTTTGGGAAAAGATTTTGTGATCTGCTGGGGACATCTTGTGGTGAAACCTGGCATAGCAACTGAATTTTTTTTTAAATTGTGCCTATTGGCTCCCTTGATTTGCCCTTCATATTATCAAAAAAGATAAGAAGTGGAAACAGCTGGGTGGTGACAATTATTTTTACAAAGTGTGGAGGTAGACAATGGCTGACTCTCACTAAAAATAGCCTCCACTAAAGGACTATCTCTAATCACCATAGAAATGGAGGAACCCTATCCACAACTTGATTATAAACTTACCTTGAAAAAATCCTTGAAGCTACTGAGTTAATGAATTCAGGAGTGAAAGCCAATGATATTTTCACAAAACTATAAATTGAACCCCAGACTCAAACCGATCAACCTACAAGCCAAAAAATAACAGAAGAGGAACAATTTAACATCAAAGAGGATTTTATACAACATGTACAATCTACTGAGAACCCTGATATTCAACCACTGACTTTAATTATAGTACCTGTAACTCCAAAAGCAACAGGAATTGATCAACAAACATGCTACATTGAGAACTTAGACAATTTAGACAACCAAACAACAATTACAACACCAGATATGACCTTTTATTTTACTCAGATGGAACTGCAAGAAGAAGAAGAGGACCAGACTGAACCGATGATAAACATTTCAAACCAAACATGGAGATTTGAATTATTGGGCAACAGCCTAATAACTACAAAGAGGTCAGTTCTTTTGAAAGACTGGTAACTAGATGTTCTCCCTTGATTCAAACAACAGGTGTGGGAATGATGAGAGACACATCCGAGGTTTTAGAGGCACTGGCATGGCCTGGCACAAAAAGAAAGCCAAAGTTAAATTTAAAAATGTGATTTAGAAATCCACCTAATGGGTTAAGCACCTTTTTAGAGACAATGAGTGCTTTAATATTTAGGATTTAGATTTAGATTTATAATGGGAATTAAAACTAACTGTTAGATTATAACTTTAATTGTTATATGGAAATAGATTTGTAACAATGAAAGATATTTTGTTATTAAATGAGGAGTTACCAGGATGAGAAACAGAATATATCTGTAAATAAAGAAGTAGGTAAATTTTGGAATAATATGTGTATTTTAGTTACGTTAATTATCTTATAATGAAATGAGAGAAATTAAGGTTATCCGAAGTTTAAACATTGGTGATAAAAGGCTAAATTGGAATATGTTAATTGGAATTAAATAAAACCTAAAAACAGGACATGGATATGTATAACCAAAATGTTATTCACAAATGTATTGATTGATTGAGCTTCAGCTAGAAATCTATAAATATGAATATGATATAATATTTGTGGGAAATAGAGAGGGAACTTTTATTAATGCAACCTGAGATATACATGAATGGTTTTGTTATTGGATTATTGACTACCCTATCACCACGCTGCTTCCTAAGTACTTGGATGTAAACATTTGAAAAATTAATAAAACTTGTATAAAAAAAAAGAAATTGAAGTTAATCTATCAAAGTATTTTATACTTATTGGACTCTTCAAAGAATATATCAGAAAGGATGGATGGTAGATTTTCCATGACAGGAAAAATGAGAGTAAATTAACAAATATAGTCATGCCCAGTTTTGGTTTATTTTTGGAAGAATATTGTAACACACACACACACACACACACACACACACACACACACACACACAGTATATATCAGTAGATGTCTGTGTAAACGTTTTCAAGTTAAAAGATGTCAATGTTATTTGGACACTTACTTACTTATTTATTTATTATATCTTACCATAGGGTAACTGGATGACTTAGGATATTAAATTGTATTTACAACATTATTACACTTAACTGATGATAAAGCAAGACTTGCTTCTTTTTGTTATCTTAGGCCAGGGGTCTTCAAACATGGCCCTTTTGCTGGCTGAGCAATTCTGGGAGTTGGTCCACAAGTCATAAAAGGCCAAGTTTGAAGACCCATGCCTTAGGACAAAGCTATTCTTTTTTTAAATATCAGTAGACATAAAACTAACAGCCACAGTTTTATGGGAAGTAACTGGGAGTGCTGAGATTGTGGACATTGACGCAGTCATGTGACATTTTCCTTAATGACTACTGCTTAATCACTGGTATTCCAGTCCCAATTGTGACAGTAACTTGAGGATTACCAGCAACATTAAGAATTACAATTAACAATGAGTTATTAAAACTAAGATTAGTTCTAAGTGCTCAATAAATAACAGAATAACAGAATTCGAAGAATTGTTGGAGGTCTTCTAGTCCAACTCCCTGCTCAAGCAAGGGAACCCTATACATTTTTAGACAAACGGTTGTCTGATCTCTTCTTAAAAACCTCCAGTTTTGGAACACCTCCAACTCCTGGAGGCAAGTTATTCCATTGATTAATTGTTCTAACTAAGGAAATTTCTCCTTAGTTCTAGATTTATTTATTTATTTATTTATTTATGAGACTTATATACCGCTTTAAGTGCAAGCACTCTCTAAGCGGTGTACACCAGTAAGCAATGTATATATATATTTACATTGCCCCCAACAATCTGGGTCCTCATTTTACCTACCCCGGAAGGATGGAAGGCTGAGTCAACCTTGAGCCGGTGAGATTTGAACCGCTGACCTGCTGAACACAGTCAGCTAAAGTGGCCTGCAGTACTGCACTCTAACTGCTGCGCCACCTCAGCTCTTTGCTTCTCTCCTTGATTAGTTTCCATCCGTTGCTTCTTGTCCTGCCTTCAAGTGCTTTGCAGAATAGCACTTACATAATTATGGATTTCACAAACTGTGTTAGTAGTTTTTTCGTACATGATTGTATACGATTGATATATAGAATGTGTGGCTGGGATTCACAATAAAGCTTAGCAGAATTTTGCTCATGCCTAAAGAACTGTTCTTCCTGATTTGTTTTTTCTTGAAAAACTAGTCTGAAGGGATTAAATTTAACACAGTTTCTTGTTCTAAAAGTTCTGTTTTGTTCATTGCTATTCCTTGTTGTTGTCAGCATTGTCAACACACACACACACACACACACACATATATATACTGTACATATATATATACTGTACATATATATAGTGTGTAATGTACTGAATTTTCCACTTCAATGTTTAATCATATTCCAATTTTTCTCTTATTTAATATTTTTTTGCTATCTTAGTATAGCTCTACTTTTTTTTTTTTAAAAAAAATAATCTTATTTGTTGAAAACAGTTTATTATTTTCCATGGCTTATCTTCTAATCCTTGTTGGGTTTGTTATATGCGTAGACATTTGTAATGCTATCAGTCAAATGATGGCATAATATTAAAGCAAGAATACATTTATAATGCTCTTTAAAGATCTTTGGAAATACATCAAAATGTGAGTCAACTTGCATTCATAAGCAGCACCATTATAAATAAAGAATGAGGTTCATTACTAATAATCCACTTGCAAAGTCTTATTGCTGGAGATAGATTGTCTGTAAAGGCATAGCGGCAAACTATAAAAGAAAGAGATTTTTCTGGAAAATACATGCTGATAACCTTTGTTCATGAAGAATTTTTTAATATTTGACAAAGATGGGCATTATTGTTAGAATTAAATACACTTTTAATGAAGCAGACTCTAGTTCATAAAAGCATTTACCCAATAAATGTCTTAAGCTTCAAGGTGATCCAGAGCTCTACATTGTTTTTTAATTAATGGGTTTCATTCTTTAAAAAGCACAACAACTCTTGTAGCATCTTAATGATAAACAATTTATTAATTGCATCAACTTTTTTGCTGCATCTGATAAAGCCTTATTGTTATCAACATGTGAACTTTGTTTCAGCTAAACTGAATGCCTGCTACTGAACCCCCCTACTCAGAACTGCACTTTGCTTTGCTAATTTCAAACACATAAACACATGGTTTACTGAAAATGTATTTTTATTCATGCAACTTAATTTAAATATATAATAAAACAATACAGTAGACTATCAAGGACCTACCTGTAGTTTCAGAATATTTCTACTTATAAACCATAGCATCAATCAATATGTTGCTTCTATTAAAAATTATTTTCTGGCACAAACTGTTTTTACAGATTCACATTTCATCCTTGCTAATTTGAATATTGGATTGGAGACTGTTTTGGTGTCAGATCCTTCATCTGACACAATGTATAACTATAGCTCTCATTTTTAAAATGCTCCAAGTTGGAATCAGACTTTTGTCCTGACTGCTTGTCTGTTTGGTTTCTTACACATATGTATACACTAACACACACATGTGTGCGTACACACACGCACACACACAGACACAGAGCTCACCATGAAACTGAGGAATGTAATCTATTTTCATAGGGAAAATTGACGTAAAAATAAACAGCATTAAGTAATAGAGCAGCCAAGCTGTCTGAAAAATAAAAATATCTGAATCACAAACAATGTAATTATCACATGCAAAGCTAAAAATAATTCCATATGTCAGTTATATATGATATTCAACTAACATGGAAAGCATGAATTTGCTCCTTAATGACATAATATTTTTGGAAATGGAGATAGCCTTTTAAAGTCATGGAGTATGACGAAAAGGGCTAAGGTTTGAAATTATGTGCAATTCCCTCTGAACCTTACAGAATGACCAGGTTTCTGAAAACTGGGAGCCACCCATTTGACATGTTTGATGGCAACACAGTTTTACAATTAGGCAAAATGAGGCAGATGTCTTTCTAAGGCAGCTATTTGAATCATTGGATGCTTTCTGCCAAGGGATGGGGGAGAAATACTTATGTCTTGGTGGTCAAATTTATTCTACTAGCAGTGTAAATTGTCTGTGATCTATAGATGGGCTTGTTGCTCTATGGTGGACAGCAGCATCTTTGTTTGTTAGCTCATTACAGACTTTTGTAAACTTGTTTAACAAAAGCAAAAAGGGGAAAAAAGTGGGGACTGAGTCATAGATCTCAGTACACAGATGGTATACAGGGTATGGCTTGGTATGATTCAAGTTATATATGTCTTCTGTGACATATAACCAAGGATCTTAAACATGTTGGGAAGATGCTAATACAGTTTTCCTGCAGAAATGTTCAGGTTCAATCCTTGCCATTATTTTTAATTCTGGAAGCCCCTACTTAACCTAAAGAAGAGTTCAAAACTTTGAATGTCACAGCATTTATCTCACTGGGCTGGAAGACTAAAAGCTTATACACTATTTTTAATTGATCTAAAAGTATAATTTAAATAGTTTCAACTCTCTCTCACATATGTTGTAGAACTCTTACTGCCCAAATCAAAGCTAATCAGAATTTGTGATCTGACAAGCTGGGTGAAACTCCCCAATCCCACACTAAGCTTCATTCACCTGCAGTTTGGGCTCCCTGCCCTTAGCAAACAAAACAAAAGGAGGCGGAAAGAACCGTCAATCCCCGGCCAGATCACAATACGTACCTCGCCGGGTTGCAACTGGCGACTTCTTGAAAGCGGAGAAGGCAGCGCTAAGCTAGGCAAGCAGGTCAGGAGCCAACAAGCGGATTCACACTTTCGCGTCGTCCACTTCTCTGTATTCCGCGGGTGCGAAGGAGCCATTGAGCTTATTCCTGAGGGCTCTCCGACAGCTGGGGAGAAGCTTTTCAAGGCCTACAACGCATGTGGCAGCTGGGAACCTCAGCCTCTTCCAAATGCCCCTCGGCGTATGCCCTTTAACTTAAGAGAATCGTCCGAGTGTGCTTGCGCGCGGGCGCGCGCGCGCCTGCCAGTCAGAGGGAGGGCATTTCAGAGCACACAAACGCTTCGACAGATGCGCTGTCGCCCCCCTCCCCTACCGAACCTTTCCTTTCGGTCTCTTCCCCCCCCACCTCCACGCCGTATTCTCTCCCTCCAATACCTCCCCTCTTGCCTTCCAATGGGCTATTGGACGTGCCCAAACCCTGCACCTCCCGCCTCTCGTGTCGGTGTCCTCTCCTCGGTGGTAGCGCGTAGGAACACGTTCCCAAGCGGGAGCAGCGGCGGCGGCTGCAACAGCGGCAGCAGCGGTGGCGGCAAGGAAAGAAGCCCTGTCTCGGATAGGAAAGGCGGACACGGGCGGGCGACCCAAATCAAGTAACAGCACCCCGGGGCGAGTCCACGAAGGGTGGACCTCGCATATTCTGGAGCTGCCGCGCCTGCTTCTTTCTTTTTCGCCGGTTGTGCGCGCCACTTGTGCGCGCCGAGTGGGGTGGCGCGGTGTCTGTTTGCAGCAACGGCCGCGGCGGCAGCAGCAGCAGCTAGCAACACGGCGTCGGGAAGGCTCCGGGGGAATGCGGCAGTAGCCTTCCAAGCCGGGAAGAGCGAAGATTTCCCTCCCCACCCCCGATGTTCCCCTCAGTCCTCCTCGCTTTTACGCGCCGGCTTCGGCTCCTCCGCCAAGAAGCCTGAGGGCGCCCTGGCCCTGCCTGGCTGTGGCTGAGTGAGGGGCTGAGAAGGTACTCTCGTTCCTGTTGGACTGGGGGTGGGAGGAAGGGGGTGGTGGCGGCAGTTTCGCCTTTGCTACGGCTGCTGCTTTTCAGCGTGCCTTTTAGCTACCCCGAGGAAAGAGCAGGCGCCATTGCCGGGAGGCTCGAACCGAAGGGGCCGCAGCGCGCGCGCCCCTTCCCCTCTGTTCGGCGGAGGGCAGCCGGCGCCCTGGTCCTGCTCTCCCCCTGACGTTCCCCGCAGGATGCCTGCCTTGTCCTGGCGGCCGAGCGCGGCCATCCCTCCTTCTGCCTTGCTTCTGTTGCCGCTGTTCTCTTTAGCTTGGGCGCGGAGCAACTCTCGGGGACTAGCGGGGTCCCCCCACAACGCCGTTTCTTCCCCTACGACCCCCATCGCCATTATGGGCTTAATGCCGCTGAGCGACTCCGTGGAGAAGGGCAAGATCGGTCGGGGGGTCCTACCGGCTATGCAATTGGCAATGGAGCAGATCCTCAACGAATCGCTGCTCAACCCCTACTCTCTGGACCTGCGCTACTACGACACTGAGGTGAGCGAGGGGAAGGCAGCTCGCTGTGTGGCCAGCGCCGGCCGCCTTTCGGCATTGGATTGGGAGGGAAACGTCGTCGTCCTTGATTATGAGATGGTGGGGCCGATGGGATACCAGTCTGTGTTTGTGGGTCTTGACCACTTGCCTTTTATAATCCCACTTCGTACAACAGGAGTTGGCCTAGGTCAGAAATGCTGAGACTCGTAACAGGGAAAAGGAAATAAATAAACGTGGGAAGTGTGGTTGTTATCTCCCCAGCGTGTTATGGCCATCTGCTACTGCGACGGTGGTCGGCCGCGAATGGGAATAACGAGAAGCAGAAAAGTCATTGGGAACGAATTCCGGTCGCTTTGTAAGGGGTCACTTTAGGTTTTGTTTGCACTCTTTCCTCCGGCTTCCCCCTCCCCCTCCCCCTCCCCTCCCGCGCGCACTTAGTGATTGCAATTTAGCATTTACGACTTGTTTTCCCTGGGTAGCTTTCTGGCCCAGCAGCCTCGGCTAAATCTGCACCTTTAGCAATATTGAGAAAGCGCCGCCCGTTATTTAAGCAACAGAGACACGTCAGGGATTTGTGGTTGGTGAGCTTGGAGCAGGCGCTTGGCCACCTGCATAACTGAGGTGAGCTGCAGCCTTTGCGTACTTGGAGCGCCACTTGATGCTTTCTGTGAACTCCTGAAGGGCAAGAAGCTAGCTAGTCGGATTTCTAGTGCTTAGCGGCAGGAGGAAAGCAGGACCCACAGAGAGGGAATGAGTGAGAAGGTTTGTCCTTCTTTCTTACAAGGTGTATGCCAAAGTACAGAGGAGGAGGAGGAAGAGGAGGAGATGCCAGCTTCCCAGAGCAATAGCAACAACTACTGTTCTTGGACGTGATGCTTCTTTTGCAGCATCCCTCGTTCCTTGTACTCCAGTCGCACAAATAAATAGCTAATGTGACGGCATGTGCATATTTCTAGCCCAACCAGAAGCATGGAGAGCCCAGGAGAAAAGTAGGTGAGACCTATGGGCAGCTGAAGTACTTAGTTGTGAATTCTATTCAGCGCAAGCCCCGAAAGAGTTAATCCTGCAGCTTTTCTGTTCTTTCTTGTTCGTAGTATGTCTGCCATGCTTAATTCTTCTTGTAAATGCTGGTTTTCACATCCCTGCACTTCCAGAGTGGGTGAGAAAGCCGATGGCTGTAGACCATACAGAATTCATAGTAGGCAGGTTCTTAGGTTATTCAGTGTTGTTGTGGGATTGACCAAATGAAGTGCGATCATTGGGTGGCTTTCCCCCACTGCAAGCATAAGAGAGGCTGCTTGTTTTCTGAGAACGTGTTTGCGGCAAATAAATGTTGATTCAATGTTGGACCTTGCCTGAAGAGGGCAGTGTTTTCTTATGTAATGCTTGGGCCTTGATGCTTTCTATCAAGGTACCTGCCATAATAAGTTCCCGAGGAAATTCAAGGTTTTAAACTCTTAAGTGATACCAAAGAAGCTTCTCTTATTCTTATGGGTTGTTTATCAACGTTTTAAATGTTCCGGGATCATTTCTCTTGAGATAACAATTAAGGGAGAGATGTGATCAGACTTCCATTGCGATGACTTTTGTATAGGAAAGGTCGAATGGGTAATGATGTATTGGGTAATGATGAATTGTAGGAAGGTACAAATGGTCATGGCCCTTATTTTTGTGTAGTATAGAACATTTGTCAGTAAATTATTATCTCTGTCCCATTTGAACAGATGACTCGGAAATGAAATTATAAGGATTAAGAACAAGATAGGCAGATATTCAACATTTTTTTATTCATATCCAATTTAGGAAAGCTTTATTGAAAAGCTTTGAACTATGTATAATATCCCTGTTCATCTGAAGTTCAAATAAACAGCTGTGAGATTTTCTTAAGGTTACAGTCATAACACTATTTTCATCTTCATTTGGAAAATGGGATTTTAGCAAAGTGAGAGTAAAACCAATTCCTATGCATCACTTGATAACTTCAGTGTCAAATTACAGTCATGCATGAATACATATAGAGACAAGCCTGAAGATGGACCCTTTATTAACATCACCTTACATTATTTCAGGTACACTACAAGGTTTTAGTACCACGTTTCACACACTCTCAGCTGTATGTTGAAATGCACAAATAAACCAGTATTCAAATAATGATTATTTTAAATTAGCATAGGAAGAGTTATCATTGATCTTTGAACAGCTTACTAAGGTGTACATTTAAAAACAATATTTTTAACATTAATCTGTTCCAGTTTTATCTGTGTGTAGTTATGTAAGACTAGTTAACATTGAAAGCAATAAGATACACAAAGACAACACTTGCATGCAAATCCAAGAAAAAGATGCATATGAGAAGATACTTCTTTGAATATCTTTATTTGGATGTAGGTTACATTGTGAACTTTCATTCTTTATTATTTGGGGGAAAAAAATAACAAAGCAAAATTAGGCTTTTAACTTCTGAATTGTTTTATACATCCCTGATTGGTTGATAGTAAATCCATCTTATTGATAAGAAAGAAAATTAGAAATCATGCTATGCAGGTATTCAAAAACAGGAAGCATAGATTTTCTGATTAAACAGGTATTAAGTTTATAAATTGATATGTAGATATTGAAAACTCCATTCACACAATGATGAAATAATGCTCTATTTAAATCTAGTTGTGATGTAGGGAATTGTGGACTATACTGTTAGCTTTGAAGAACACATATTTTAATTTTGCCGTCCACAGATGTGCTGACACATTATGATTGATAGAGGTTGGTCTTCATTCAGTTGGCTCTGTCTTCAAACTAGTGACACATGTCATCTTATGTGAGCTTCGTAGAGATACTTATGTAATTTTTGTCTTTAGATTGATTTTACTTCAAGGTGAGACTCCATTTAGATATAAACAGAAGGAAAAATGACATTTAGGGTGATGGGAGAAATAACTTGTTTTTGTGTTTTTGATCACTTGGTATGAAGGCACTGTTAATTCTTAACTCTGTGTTTCTAACATTACTATTTATGAGGTATCATTCCACATATACAATATATTTAGTTATTTTAAAAATAATGAATAAACAGTAGTTATTTGGTCTGGGTGTTTAATATTTATCTATCATTACTGCAAATCTATAGCTAGAAGTATTCATAAAGTGCACTATAGGTTATGCTTTATTTTTTTCTATCCTTTATTTTAAGGGGGGGGGATGGCATTCTCAGAATCAGAAATTATTTCCTCAAGGAGAAAGGGCAGGAGGGAGGGAAAGAAATTGTATTCTGTGCTGTGGGGTTTCTATAAAGGAGCCGTTTCAAGGTTATTCTGTGCAGAAATGTCAGAGCTATAGGAATATGAAGCAATTACGAAGAAGAAAAGCCACAGATGAGCTGACCATGGTGCTACCTTATTCACATAAGCAAATTGGAATCCATAGCAGACATCCTTTAGAGCCCTGTTTCTCAACCTCAGCAATTCTGGGAATTGAAGTTCACACATTTTAAATGCTAAGGTCGAAAAACACTGCTTTAGAGTAAAAAATTGGTGATTCACTTAGTTTTATTGTAATAAAAATTTCTGTTAAATGGAAAGCTGATGGAAGCTTTAGTGATTTAGGAAGTTAATATTTACATCTTTGGAATGTTCCTTACAGCCTCGCCACATCAAAAACATCCAGATAAGATTAATGCAATATTTTTTTTTAAATAAAATAATAAATTTCTAAAACTGAACTGTTTCCATGTGACAGTGAGACCTTAAATCACTATCATTGCCTTTTATTTTTATTGACAAGGAATGTAATCACAACTTTTTTTGATCAGTCTTTTATTGGTATCATATTTTTTTGCCAGTAACCAGATGTCATCCAAAACATCCTAGTAAGAGTGTTTTGCTTACATTTTGTATTTTTTGTTCTTTTGATTCTGGATCAGAAATATAGTTTTATTTGCCCTGTATAGGGGATGAGGCATGTGTTTTCCCTATTTGTTGGGTGTTCATTTTGAGCAATTTTTGGTATTGCTTACACCATTTTCCATTCTGCATGGAATTGTTAATGAGGGTAGCAAGTAATTTAGGATGTGGGAATCAAATCTCCAATTTTGTATCATGCTCAGTGAGAAGTTCTGTGTGGTTACAAAAGAAATGGAAAGTTTGGGGAGGGGACAACAGTGTGCTATTTATTTGTTTATTTGTTTGTTTATTCAGTTATTACCTTCCCCTGGGAATTTGTCTTCTGGAGTGGCAGGAGTTGTTTTTAACTGCACAAACCAAACCAAATATAAGACAGGGTTAATTATTAATTAATTAATTCTGAATTAATTTATAATCCAGAATTAAAGCAAACCAGAATACATCAACTATTTTCAAACGAGTGAGATTTGTATACGAAAGAGAGACGGTTGCTTTATTGCCTTGTCAATGCTACAAATGAGCATGGCTGCAGCCATTTTTCCTACTCATTTTCAGTTGCCACATAGAATGGAGGGAGGGGGATTGCCCAAGTGTTTCGCTGGTCTAAATAATTTTTTGTCTTGTGGGAACCAAGGTCATCAGCTGCTTCTGAGACTGCAGGTGGGGTGTTGCAGAAAAAGCCCGCCAAGAAGATGCATTGGGGAACGTAGTGCTTGGATAGTTTTAGGGGTGGGATTTTTAAACTTTGTATTGGGGAATTGTTACATGTATTTCCAGACTTAGTTTCACTTTTGACGTGCCGATACTTTGTAACTAATAAACATGTTCTTTGAGGAATGTGCAAGCCTTGGAGTTCTGCTTTATTCTTCTCTGTCTGTCGGAACCATGACATTACTACTGTAATGTGGTTCTGATATTTCAATAAGTACAGGGAGTCTTTGAATTAGGACTAGTGGTTTAGTGACCATTTGAAGTTGGGACAGACCTCCCCAAAAGGTAATTACAATCAATTCTGAAGTTCCACTGGCTGCTCTCAATGGTACATGACTGCATTTTGGGAGTTTGGCAACTGGCTCACATTTGCATGTTCTTGTGATCTATGAC